TTGGGGTTATTTGAATCCAACTTTTTTTTTCTTCTTCTTCTCCAGCCATACCAAAACTCTGATTCTTCACCTTTTGCCTTCTTCTAATATCAGAGCTCCCATATTAGAGATATAAAAGAGAAGAGATGATTCCACCAGGTCCGAAATGAGAGATTTCATTTTGGATTTGGCTTTCCAGAGTCAGAGTTATCCCTCCAAATTTTTCAGGAGAAATGCAACCAATTTATGGGCATAGGAGATTGTACTCCAGTTTAATTTTACTTCAAAGTAAAATTTGAGACCTCGGAAAGTTTGTAGTACCTTGGAGAGAAAAATATGCACTTTCTTGAATGCTCTCTAAAACAGGATCAACTGGAATTCCCCCTGGCTTTTACACATTTGGTGATCTATTTAGGTTGCTCCACTTGTGCTCCTGCTTTCTTGTATGATGACTTGTTTGGAACACAATTTCAAAAGCTTAATTGTTCATTGCTTCTTTCTACCCTTTCAGCTGTTTTTCTGCAACATTCAGATCAGGCATTGTGAGTCTCTTTTGTTTTAACTTATCTTCCTCCCCCCTCCCCCCTCCCCTTTCCCCCGTGGTTTCCTACCTATTTCTGCCTCACCCGAACTCATGGAATAAAATGAATGAGGGTGGAGGAAGCATGGTAAAACAGGGAGCTTTTTACTGCCAATATATGTCATTTTTATTGACTTCGATATATTGCTCCTTTCTAACTGAGAGAAGGAAGAATGATGATGGTAATCAGCCTCCTGCAACCAGAAGCCTTGGACTTCAAATCTCACAATCCCTAGCCAGGATCATCAATAGATCTGAAGGGCTTCAGATTTAGAAAGGCTGCTAACGTGTTGCAATGCACTGTAGTGGGTTACAAGAATATAATTCTATGAAAAGAAGATTCTATTAAGAGAGAAACTAAGGTGGGCAACCGTGTCAGTGAAGATTCTCAATCATCCAGACAGAGTTGTCTGAAGGTTATCTGAAGTTGTATGAAGGTTGAATCATGACAACTGGACTAATTCTTTTGTTAGTTTGAAAGATGTTTCTCTGCCCATCCAGGCTGTTTCTTCAGTCAGAGAAAGTCAGGGAGTCATTGGAATGTACCAATTCCTACCACACCAACCTCAGGGGTTTTTCTCCAAAATGCATTGAAATATGCTAATGAAGATTCTCAATCATCAATGCAGAGTCGTCAGAAGGTTGTCTGAAGCTGTTTGACAATTAGTGTCAAAGTTGTATGGGCAACAGAATTTATATCAATGGCTTCCACCTATCAGGGGGACATCCTTCCCAAATATAAATCTATGTATTACTCCTGCAAAAGCAGATTTGTTGCCAACTATGTAGAGTTCTGTAGCATAATTCTGCAGTTTATACAGTGACTTTTTTCTTAAAAACTTTTTAAAATTTGATTAAGAATGATAATTGAGAAAACATTTATTGCATAGCCTCTCAAGGAGGATACACCTTAAAACACATTGGGCATTTAAATTATCCATATCTACATGCATATTTGTAAAAGGCCTCCTGTACTATTGTAACTTTTAATAGTTTTGGAGTCTTGTGTGTTTGTGTGTGGAAAAGCAAAAAAAAAAAATACATGAGAGATCAAAGAGGAATAAAACCAGAAGAAATAATACAGAGGGTACAAATAAAAGGGCAGCAGAACTGTAGGACAGTAGAAGGTCATTCTGGACTTGCAAATCCTACTTGACATGCAGGTGGTAGTCATAGAAGTCCATATGCACAGGTGTACTTTATTCATGGTGAATTATGCTTTAGTCAACTCCAAATTGGATTACTCCTTGAACATTTGAAAACTATAGCTGATCCACAGACTTTTTTGCGTGTTCCATGTGATATCTCTTCTCCATGATCTCTATCGGCTCCCAGTTGGCTTCTGGGCACAATTCAAGATGCTAGTTATCACCTACATGGCACACAGCAGATTATTGTTATGTCTCTGGTTATCTCCCCACCCCACAAAAAGCAGCAGAGTCCTTATGTTCCAGAAGCTCTACCTTCTCCACCATTGCATTTGCTCTGTAGAAGACCATTTCTCTGGAGATCTAGATGGCCATGATTTGTTGGCCTTTCACAAGATGTTAAAGATTTGATGTCCCACAGAAATTTGTCCTGGGAAGTTAAGTGAGCCCTATGGACTGATTGTTTAGTTACTGTTTCAATGATTGCAGTGGAATGGAGTTATTCAGAAGAATCCTAGTCACAGGGTATACATTGCATATAATTTCATTCCTTTTTATTTCCATGTGCTTTCATTATTGATGCCTGCAATTTTCCTTCATGTTTGGCACCAATGCAAAGCCATTGTTATTTTGCAAGGATTAATACACAGGCTGGAAATATGACTCCTGACATTTGTCCAGTGTCCAATCTCCTCCCCCCCAAAAAATAAACAAATTTTTAGAATCTCTAGAATCTCAAAAAATGTCATGTGATAACCCAGAAGAATACTAAAGCTTCATATCTCAGAAACCTGTGAGATTTTGACAGTCATGTTTCAAGATTTCAGTGCTGAGGGCACCTTAACCATTTTAAGAATGTGTGATGGTACTCAGGTTCTGGGGAAGATAGCTTTAGGATATGAAGCTCAGGCTCTTACAATGAGATAAAGGTATCATAAAAGCATAGAGCTGAGAAGTCATCAAGTCCAACCTCCTGCAAACTACAAAATTCACTACACCATCCCTAATAGATGACTATCCACCTATGTTTGAAAACCTCCAATGAAGTGGAAGAAAGCACTCCATGAAATAAACTACTCCATTGATTGAGAACCTTTACTGTCAAAAAGTTTATTTATTTATTTGTTTATTTGTTTGTCAACAAGTACAAGGAAACAAGTATCAGTATAGACATAGACATGGACAAATGAAAAAAATGGCACCAAAATGGATATAAATAGGCAAAACATAGCCATAAACACATAAAATGATTACATATAAATGGGGACAGTAGGACAGGGACGGTAGGCAGGCTGGTGCACTTATGCACACCCCCTTAGGGACCTCTTAAGAAATGTGGAGGGTCCATAGTAGACAGTTTAAGATAAAAGGTATGGGAATTAGAAAAACTAACAACAGGATCATGTAGAGTGTTCCAGACATTTACTACTCTATTGTTGAAGTCATATTTTCTGCAATCAAGATTAGAGTGAATTACATTTAGTTTGTATCTATTGATAGCCCTTGTGTTATTGTGGTTGAAGTTAAAGAAGTCATTAACAGGTAGGAGGTTAAATTAGATAATCTTGTGTACTAAGCTTAGGTCGGAACGTAGACGGCGTAATTCAAGGTTATCCAGCCCTAAAATTTCAAGTCTGGTGGTATAAGGAATTTTATTGAGACTACAGGAGTTGAGTACTCTTCTTGTAAAATACCTCTGGACTCTCTCAAATGTATTAATGTCCGAAATACAGTGTGGGTTCCAGGAAGGTGAGCAGTATTCAAGGATAGGTCTAGCAAAGGTTTTGTATGGCAAAGTTCTTCCTAGTATGTAATCTGTATCTACATCCTTGAAGTTTCATTCCATTAGTTCTAGTCTTTTTCTCTGGAGCAAGTCAGAATATGTCTTAACCAGTGGTGGGATTCAGCCAGTTCGCACCACTTCGGGAGAACCGGTTGTTAACTTTCTGAGCAGTTTGGCAAACTGATCGTTGGAAGAAATCATTAGGGCAGAGAACTGGTTGTTAAATTACTTGAATCCCACCACTGGTCTTAACACTCTGGGATGTGACTTCATATATTTGAAGACAGCTATTATGTTCCCTCTCAATTTTATCTTCTGCCAGTCGAACCTACCTACGTCTTTTAATCAGTCTTTATATGTCTTGATATTCAATCTGTTTACCATATTGGTAGTCCTTCCCTGGACTTGCTCTCAGCCTTGCAAAATTTCTGTGAGGATAAAATTAGAGGAATGGTAAGATAACAATGGAAAAAAATAATACATGCAGCAAAAGTTTATATTTATTATGTTTTTAAAAGAATACATCAATAATTTGTGAATTGTGATTAGGATTGAATCCATATTACAAATGCATCTGTTGAAAAATTTACCTTTAGAGCTGCCCAAAGACTGAAATATTAAGCAACAGAGGAAAAAAAAAACCCAATGAAAATGCACATTATTTTGAGATAGTCAGGATTCTAAATTATTAGCAACCGCATCACTGGATCGTTGCATCCATTAGAACTCTTTGTGTGATAAAAGGTAACACATTAACATTTAACCAGAAGAAGGGAAAAAAAGTTCTTCAGAATTTACATTAAATTATGGAGTAAACTCCAAACAGGTCGTCTTAGAAATATATTATTATGCTCAGCAGTCCTGTCAGCTTACATGGAAACAATTTTACTTCTAATCATCTTCTGCTTTTATTAACTCTAGAATATATCATTAAAATTTCCACAGAACAATGAAGCTTAATAGGTGCTAATGCAATTGTGAATTGTGGTAATTGTTACCTAAACTAATCTCTGTTCTTTCCATTTCTGGGTGTTTATGCAAAACGAGTGTGAAAAAGCCAATGTACAAATTGAAAATTGTTTAAATTGCTGAAATCTTTTACCATGCTCCTGCTCTTTGGTAGAATTTTCTAGCATGTAAGACAAAATCTATTGATATATTGAGCTTTTTAAATAGATACTACATGATGAAAGGATTTAAAATGTTTTTGTAATGTGTATATTTAAGAAATTCATGTACCTATTGCTATAAACGTAAAAAAACTGAATCAAAATTTGATTTTATAGTAATCAAACAAGTCTTGCAAACTACATGATTTATCACACAATCCCTGATAGGACTATTGTCTATTAGGACTATTAAGTGTTTGTCTATTAGGACTATCATATATGCACTGCAAAAATCTAGAAGACCCTGTAGTATTAGAAGTTCCATCAGAAGATTGGCAAGGAGGAATTGAATAATTGTGGGTACATTTTCCCCTCAGTTGCATAGTGCATAGATCTCTGTATGAGTTCATATTTTTTTTATTTACTAATTCAGTATTGTACAGAATTAAGCAAGGATTTATTTTAGTCACGAAAGGGTAGTACTTGACTTTCTTCTTTATTTTGCCTTGTCCGTGATGAGACACCAGTGTTGGCTAGGAAGTTTTTTTCTTCTTCTCATCTTCACTCCAATTAACCTTGAGAAACAAATATTCCGTAATTCTGAGATGGTTTCATCACCACCTGGTATATGCAAAGACTACTTAACCTTGATGTTCTCATTCTTGGCAGAAATCCTTAAACTTGAACCTTTATGGTCTCATTCTTGGAAGGAGAGCAAAGCAGCTTTCAAGATAAGATAGACTTATCATCCCTGTCTTTCATAAAAATCTAGTGAGATGGGATCATTGAAAAATGGATGTCCTTAATCCGGGGGAGACATGATAGCAGTGTTCCAATATTTGAGGGGCTGCCACAGAGAGGAAGGGGTCAAGCTATTTTCCAAGGCTTCAGGTCAGACAAGGAATAATGGATAGAAACTGATCAAGGAGAGATTCAACCTAGAAATAAGGAGAAATTTTCTGACAGTGAGAACAATCAATCAATGGAAGAGTTTGCCTTCGGAAGTTGTGGGAGCTTCATTACTGGAGGCTTTCAAGAAGAGATTGGACAGCCATTTGTCAGAATTGGTGTAGGGTCTCCTGCTTGGATGGGGGTTGGACTAGATGACCTACAAGGTCCCTTCCACCTTTGTTAATCTAATCTAATCTAATTATGGTTCCGACCCTATATTGCTTAATCAAAGTTCACATGAAATGGAACTTCAACTGAGAAGGTGCTGCATATTTACGGGCTGTGGAGGAATTCATCTGCCATATTTCTTTGGACCCCCTGACTGGCAGAAAGCTACAGTATAAGGTCCTTCTTTCTTTGTCTTATTGTATTTCTCAGTATTTATCAATATCCTTTGTTTGCGGTCGATTGTTATATTATAATGTTGTTTTTGTATACTAACGGTACCTTGGAATATAACCTTACATTCTCATACTTTGTGGTCCTTGCTTCCAAGTCCAAAACAACCTATGACTCACCTCTGCTGGATTGGGGATTGAGAAAACAGACCACTGGATGGCAACTTAGAGCTATGGAAAAAAAAATAGATATTTTGCTGCTATCTAATGGTTATCTGGAGATCTACAGATCCTGGTATCCTCAGAAGATGAAAATGAGGCCAAATGACAATGTGTGACTGCACCATCATGCAGATATTTACATATTTATATTTTTGTAGTGCAGGTATGTAATAATGCTCTCTTACAGCAACAGGATTTGCATGATATCATAATCTACTGTAGCTTGTGTCATTGTGATTTTTACAAACTCTTAAACTAGAGTAAATTATTAAATGAATAGTTTTTCCTTGGCTTCATATTCAGCCAAACAACCAGTATCCTTAGATCAGGGATGGGTTCTACTTACCTTTACTACTGGTTCACAGCAGGGCTGCACGTGCTCTTCTGCGCATGCACAGAAGCATTTTGGTGATGTCAGGGTCGGTGGGTGGGGCCTCCTGCCAGTTTTACTACCGGTTCTATAGAACCGGTGCGAACCGGAGGCAACCCACCACTGCCTTAGATGAATAAAATTATAATTATTCAATAGATACCTTTAAGGGCTACTTGGTTGAGTAGTAGCTTAGAACTCAGCTTGATGTTTTCTTGGCCTGGTCCATGCTCAATGTTTATCTTGTACGTTTGTTTGTTTTTGGCTTAGAGTGCTATCTGATCTAGTGACTGTGATTTGTCAACTATCCAGGGGTAGGTAAAAACCATATGTAATACTGTCAGACACCAAAGAAGTACAAAATAGGTGAGGCAAGGATTTGGAGGAAGTTATGGGGAGAATATTTGTAAAAATTGGTTCCTCATCTCAAATGGAAAGAAACCATGCTACCCAATTGCAGCTGCCTGGTCATAAGAAACTTTAAGCGCGATCAAAATGGGGTGAGACTATGGTATATAGGAGATCTAACTCTCTGTTGTGTGCCACAATATGTTGTGCAAATCCAGTCAAGTGTGATTTCTTTGAAAAAGTCATAGTTACACAAATGATGATCTCCTAATATCTATGAATCAGATCCTTGCGTTAGCAGAATCCTGGAGGAAATTAATTTTAATCTAAATAGTAAAGGAGGTACATATATCTTCTTAAATTAATTAATGGAGTGGAAACTTTAATAGATTAGCTGTTACTCCCCTGCACTCATTGGAATCATTCTCCTGTATAACAGCTTCCCAAGCCTGTGGCTTAACTGCTATTATTCCCTCCTAAAAGGATTATTGAGCTGAAGGTATCAGTAGAATACCCAATGAAGCATACAAGGGGCAACTAAATGTGAACCGAGAAAGAAACTGTTGGTAAAAAGAATGGCTAAAATCCTCAGTTGCAGTATTCCACCATGTATTTTGGTGCATATCTGACTTGCATATTCTAATCTCTAATTCATGCCATTGCATTTGGGGGTATCTCAGGGTATGGCTGAAAAAAAGCCAAGATGGCGACTGCAACTCTGTGATTGATCAGGGGTCGCTTCGATGGCACTATCACAAACAACTTGATTTTTGTGTTTTTAACCGGACCCTAGAGATGCCGTTGATCAAACTTTTCCCCTCACAATTAAATGAAACTACTAAAATGAAGTGAGGGACGTGGTGGCTCAGTGGCTAAGACACTGAGCTTGTCAATTGAAAGGTCAGCAGTTCAGCGGTTCGAATCCCTAGTCCCACATAACTGGGTGAGTTCCCGTTACTTGTCCCAGCTTCTGTCAACCTAGCAGTTCGAAAGCACATTAAAAAAATGCAAGTAGAAAAATAGGGACCATCTTTGGTGGGAAGGTAACAGTGTTCCGTGCACCTTTGGCATTTAGTTATGGCGGCCACAGGACCACGGAGACGTCATCGGACAGTGCTGGCTCTTCGGCTTTGAAACAAAGATGAGCACCGCCCCCTAGAGTTGGGAACTACTAGCACATATATGCGAGGGGAACCTTTACCTTTACCTTTTTTACTAAAATGAAGGGAGCAGCAAATATCATAAGCACTAACCGTATCTTGGTAATTCTTCAAAAGTGTGTTGGCGAATCTTAATTTCCATCTTTAGGCTAAATTTGAGACGATTCTTGACCTTTCAGTAGCTGCGCACTAACATAGTCCTTCTTTCTCCTCTTTTCTCTTACTGATTTATTTGCTTTCAGATTGCAGTACGTTGCCTGAAGAACCAGTGTGAGATATTTAAATGCCGTCACTATGTTTGGATGACAGTGACTGTAATGAGAATCGGGCACAACATGAATATATTGTGATGACAAGCACTGCGAATGCAAGACTGTGAAACTGACACCCATCCTAAGCTTATTCTTTGCCATTAAAAAAAAAAAAGTGTTAAATCTTAGAAGCCGATTCCTTGAGATTTTCCTGCTACCTCCCCTGGTGCCAGATTTACAAAAAAAGTATTTATACATTCCATCTCAATTTTTTTTAAAAAAAAAATCAGTGAAAGCTCTCTGGCAGCTTTGAAAAAAAAAACTGTAAAGGTTAGCCTTTATGCTCGTTAGCATATCTATTCATGTCTCTATCATTTCATTGAATTACTCAGCTGAGCTTGCACACCAAAGCCAAGGAAGGAGGCAAGCAAGGAAGGAAGGATGGCTGGCTGGCAGCATTAATATTTCATTAATCCAACAATCATCTTTAAAAAAAAAAATACTGCGTTAGTACTCTCTTGAAAAATGAATTCTGGTCTAAGTCGCAGTGCTGTTCATTGGCCTCATTCAAAAACAAGAATTTCCCCCACAAATGGTTAGCCAGAGAAAGAAACTGTTGGTGTTCATCTCCTTTTACACTCCTTTTACTCCATGTTTCCGTGGGATTACCCTAAGGTAGGACTTGCCATGGAAATGTTTCCTTGACAATTTTTATATTTGAATTTCGCAAGCTCCTGCAGGCCATAAAGAACCTTCAATGTAAGTTTAATCCTCTGCTACAAAATAAATCGGATTTGGGGAGGGAAGGGGGGAGGGTTGGAACAGATTCTAGATGCCAATTATGGAATTAACAGGGATATACAATCTTCTTGCCTTCTTCAGCTGGATCAAAAGTGATGCTTTTGTCAGGCTAGCCTATCTTAAGTGGAGATGTACTTATGTGTGGAGACACACACACACATACGATTAAACCTCCCTACTGAAAAACTGAGGCTATTAACATATTTTAGAATTAACTTTTTTTTTTCCTCCCCAGGAAACAAGTTGTGATGAATGCTGCAGCTGTTGCCTGACAACAAATTGATTTGAGGCAGTATTTATAAAGGATCAAAATGCAAGCCTGAGTAATTAAGAAGGTTTAGAGAAGTACTCCAACAGAGCACGCATTACTTGAGGAAATGATACTCTGGGTCTAACCCAGTGTTTCTCAACCTTGGTAGCTTGAAGATGGGTGGACTTCAACTCCCAGAATCCCCCAGCCAGCAGCAAGCTACCAAGGTTGAGAAACACTGGTCTAACCCATTCATCCTCTAACTTCTTCACCAACCTTCTCCACTGGCATCATTGAAAGAGGGAAGTCCAATCCCACCTGTCTCCTTGAGTTTCATGTTCCATTCCAGTCTAGAATTGCAATAAATAAAGAGTAATTCAGATGATGTCAAAAATTTAAGAAAGCACTGGTGAAAAGTTTTGGGATTGTCTCAAAGGATACAGTATTGGATAATGTTTTTCTTGGATGCATATGTACATTTCGTGATAATATTAATTGGCATCTCCATGGCTGGCTACATCTGATTGATTCTGTTTACGCAACCCAAATGAAGAAAGCATGCCCTGACTGAAGAGAAAATGTTGCAAGATCTAATCTGGATCGGTCACTGGGACCAGAAGTTTACTCTTCCGAGCTTTCAGTCTTGTGCTGGAGCCCATCCTCAGGGATATATCTGTCCTGCTATTCTATGAGTTGTATTTATGTGGTGCCTTCCAATTGGTTGATTGATGAGTTGATGGCCGGTGATTGGCTGTTGTTTCCTTGTGCTTATCAGGTATTTAGGAGCTGAAGGCTTAGCAGCACAATGAAGCAACAGCCAATTGCCAACCATCAACATACCAATCAACCAATAGGAAGGCACCACATAAATACAACTAATAGAATAGCCTAAAACACATATTCCAGTAGAGAGAAGTTCCCTGAGGATGGGCTCCAGCACAAAACTGAAAGCTCAGAAGAGAAACCTCTGATCCCGATGACTGACCCCGATTGGATCTTGCAACATTATCCTGAGACACATATATTTGCCTTCATTCGAGAAAATGTCTCACTTATTGAGAAGTATGGCAGGAGGGGGCTCAGAAACACTTATTCTCCTTGGAACTCACTTTTTGAAACACCCCCCCCCCCCCCGCCGCCAAAGAGAGGGTAGGTCCTATGCTTATGGTTCATTCGGAAGGCTTTTAGGATCTCCTCACTGAAGACTTATCAATGCCAGAGATGGAAAATGTGAACAATATATTGCATTTCTGTTTATTTACAGCTCTTGAATTATTGCACTTTTTAAACTGTCTACATTTTTAAGTCTGAGGTCATCCTAACATTGTATAAATAAAAATAAATAATTTAGCTACATCAGACCACTCTTTAATTTTTTTTTTTTACAAGTGAGGCTTTCCTCATTTACATTTCTCCACATTATGCTAATCCCAAGCCAAAAATTCCACGTTATGGCCTAGTGCAGTGTTTCTCAACCTTGGCAACTTGAAGATGAGTAGACTTCAACTCTATGCTGGCTGGGGAATTCTGGGAGTTGAAGTCCACTCATCTTCAAGTTGCCAAGGTTGAGAAACACTGGCCTAGTGTGACCAGGGCTACCTGTGGGCTAAGTGTCAAAACTAGGGTGCCTATGGCAATGCAGTAGCTGCCTCACCCATTTGTATATATGAACGTGTGAGAATTGTATGTAAAATTATGCAGTTGCAGCTGCCCTCTTGACTTTTTGACCTATCCCTGCAGACACCTCTGAGTGTGACAAACGAGGGTATGTGGCAGTACACAGTTTGTGGAAAATATACAGTTTCATGAATTCGTAATTCTGACTCGGTTGAAAGCAACTTCCTACATTCTAAAAAGAAATACATATTTATAAATGCTAAAGATAGGACACTGTGACAATTCTGTGTAGTTATGGCCAATCTTTTAAAAAGTGATATACTGTAAGAGTTTGGGGGCTCTAAGTAAAGTGTCATTTGGCCAAATAGGAATTTATTTTACAGTTTTTCTCACCATTTCACTTTCTTCAAAAGCCTGGCTGTATCTCTATGGGAGTGAAAGCATCACCCAAGCCAATCATATCTTAACTACTGCCACCCACTGATCTTTAATTATATCTGGAAGACAGGCAATCTTGGATACAGCATCTTCAGAACAGGCCATTCTAATAGCCTGGAACACCCAGTGATCAGGGCAATCTGGTTTCCTGCTCTAATTTTAGGTCCCATATTCTTTTTAAGAAACAAAGCCATCTAGGGACTCACTTGCAAACACTGTGGAACCAATGCTGCTCAGGCAGAACTCTTAGCCAATCAAATAATTTGCTTCAGAGAACATAAATACATTTTTTAAAAAATTAAAGGAAGCACCGCAAAGGTGAAATAATATAATATACAGATGGTCAAATGTATAGATAGGGAAGAGTTGTACCCTTCTTGATGAAGAGGACTAAATATGAAACCATGGTTGGCAAAGTGGATTAGTAGATTAGGACCAATAAGATAATTTATTAAACTTTTTAAAGTCAAGTTTGACTTCTCTGACTCTAAAGACAAATTCACGTAAGTTTCTTGGCAACAATTAAAGTAGAAATGGTTTGCTATTGTTGCCTCTTGGCATATATTTTTGATTTCTCAATCCAGCCTATAACATTACCTGGTGATATTCCACCCAAGTAATAACCAGATTTAATCTGGTTCTGAACTTCTACCTTTTTAAAATTAGCCAAGTTGACCAGATGTTCCCATTTAGTTAGGCAGGACCAAGAAGACCTAACTTTAGATCCCACCTCAGGGCAAAAACTCAATAAATGAAATTCTGTCAGGATCACCTCATGACTTCATTGGAACGTGGCCACAACAATGCTTTTTTTGGATTCTTTAGAGGAAAAGAATGCATTTTGTGCATTTCATAAAATAATTATCAATTTCCTATAAATAGGAATAAGAAAGACTATTACTTTTGGATCATTATATAAAGACTTAATAGTGCTGTAGTGACACTGTGATTAGAATGCAGTATTGCAGGCTAATTCTGCAGGCTAATTCTGCCAGCAGTTCAATTCTGACCGGCTCAAGATTGACTCATTCTTCCAACCTTCCGAGGTCAGTAAAATTAGGACCTAGATTGTTGGGGGCAATATGCTGACTCTGTAAACCACTTAGAGGGGGCTGTAAAGCACTATGAAGTGGTACATAAGTCTAAGTGTTATTGCTATTGCTCATAGTACATATACAGACTCCTTTCGTTTTATGGCAGATTTCGTCAACTTGTCAAAATATGAACAGGAACTAGGTTCCATATTTGTTTCTCTTTGTACATTGGAAAAACTCTATACTCAACTTGATTGACACAAGCTCATGTTCTTCCGGTAGATACTTGCACTAACTTGTTTCTTGCAATTGTCATAAGTCAATGAGGACAAGCAACTACAAAAGCCTATCTTGTGAATTTTGGAGGCACAGTTTTGATGCTCTGCCTGATATTAGTAGGCTTGCTGCACCACACCAGATGTATATGCATGAGCTCCTTTAGCCAGATGAGTCAGAAGAAATTACAAGAATCGGGACGTCTGATCGTATGAATATTTTAAAAAGAAAGCTTTTGTTTCAGCATCAGTGGAAAGACCTTTCCAACAAAGAAAAGTGGTGTTGCATCTGTTGAAAAAAGGTCAGTGTTGTTTTTCAGAAGGAGACAAAGCAGCTTTCCTTGAAGTCTTTGCCTTTAAAATGGCTTTGTGTGTAATCAAAATAGATAAGCACTTGATTAAAAAGGTATTTGGGTATCAAATTATGTGTGGTCAGGACCAGCAGCAGGTGGTTTGTTGGCATTGACCTAAGATAATGATCTAAGAAAATGTCCATATAATCTGTCACAAATCCAGATGCTGATCTTGCCAGGTAAGTCACAAGATCCAGTTCACAGGGATTATGGATTCTCCTTGTCTTTTAGGTCCACTCAAAGAATTAGTGGTATTTCTGTTGACTACAGCTAGAACAGAAACTCAAGGCCTACGGGCCGCATTTGGCCCATGGGGTGCTTAGATCTGACCTGTGGGGCCACCCTGGAAACAGCGAAGGACTGGCCCACTGTGCCCCTGTGGCCCTCCCAAGCTCTGTTTTCGCTGGCAGAGCAC